TGCGCACCAGCACGCACTGAAATGGATTGATTAACATTGGCACAGGACCACGGCGTTTCCCTTTCTCCGCGGGGTTTCGGTTGCGTTTGCCGGGGGACCCATTGTTGTTGTTGTTGTCCGCCGTCTCAAACCGTGGAAATTGTTGTGGGAAACAGGGAAACGTGGGAAGAATGCGCCGCGAGGGAGGTGCTGGAAGAAGCGGGACTCCGGCTGAAGAACGTCCAGTTCGCTTCGGTGGTGAACTCCATCAAAGTGGAAGAAAGCTACCACTATGTCACCATAATCATGAGAGGAGAGGTGGACGCCGACTACCCTGCCGAGCCTGTCAACGTGGAGCCGGAGAAAAACGAAGGCAGGTGTACATGGAAGCTTTCAGCCCAGAGAAAGTGAAATAAAATAAAATTAAAAAGTGAAATTAATTTATTTTCAGAATGTTTTAGAATTTTATTTTCAATTGGCTAATGTGGGTTACTGTGTGTTAATAAAAATGGAACAAGCCTAATTTGTTTTTATTTTCAAAAGGCACAAATTTTGAAAAGGTGTGGTGACTTTCTATATCCACTGCAGTTAAATTGGATGAAAAACCAGAAGACGCTATGCCCTCTAGAAATTGTCTGAAACGCTTGCCCCCATCATTGAAACGAGGCTGGGTAGGTGGGGCTGACCTAGTGTGATGTGTTCCAGACGGCAGCAGTGATTTCAAGAACTGTTTTCTTTGATAGGATGGTCCTGGATTAAATGGGAAGATTTTCCACCGGACAGTCAGCTATTCCTGCCTCTCGCCTGCTTGAGACAACAAGGCTACCACCCTTTCAAAGACTGCACACAGGGCACCACAGACAACAACACTGGGACAAACCGCCTTCAAGCAGGAACGTACCATTGAGATGGTAAACTTTACCTGTTGCACCTAAAACCTGGTGAAGCAGGACTCTAGGTAGGTTACGGTGTAAAAAACAAATTCTGGAGAACTTTGTGAAAAAGTAGGGTGGTGTCCAAAATCAAATGTTAGTTCAAGAGCTTTGTTGTATAAATCATTGGGACAGCATACAGTATGTACTGTTAAAGCTTGTAAGTGAAGGGTACATGAAAAGTGTTTTTTATTTTTAACCGAATGGTTTAATGGTTGGTCCAAAATAGGGTTTCTATTATCACAATCACAAGCCTGCGGGACCTGTGTGCCTTCACATCTCGAAACCAGCTGATGTGTCATGTAATGGTAATTAAATATTTATGTTACCCGTTTGTGTAAAAAAAGAAGTGTTCTCTTTTATTGTCATATGTTCTGTAAAGAAAACTGAACCGCTATATTGCTGGGTCACAAACTCCTGTACCACACATTTTGTTATTGTTCACATTGAACATTTGCAAACGAAATGAGGAAGCAGCATTAGAATCATCACAGGTGGTCCTCGACTTCCGGCAGGGTTAGGTTGCGATGACCCCGTCGTAAGTCGATTTCATCGCAAGTCGAAAAATCTGCGATCGCGTGTATCGC